CTGACCGTCCCCCCCGCCCGCAGCCTCCCCCGCCGGCCCGGCTCACCCAGCACCAGCACCATCTGCCCGCACAGGCAGTAGTAGACGTGCAGCGGCTTCTCGCCATCGTCGTACTCCTCGCGGTCGCGGGTGTCGGAGCACACCACGGAGCGCGACACCACCTTGGGCATGGCGGCTCCCGGCCCTGCCCGCCCGGCCCGGCCCCGCCCGCGGGCGCCCGCGGGGCGGGGCTACGGGAACACCCGGGGCTGGAGCTCCCTCAGCTCCCGGGTCCCTGAAGCTGGGATCGGGACGCGGTTCCTCCTGACCGGCTCTTGTTGCGGCAGGCCGGTGGCAGCAGGCAGGGCCGGGGAGGGGCGGTTTGCAGCGCGGCCGTGATAACCGTGTGGTTATTGTTTCCTTTCCGGGGGTCTCCGCCCATGTCTCTTCCCAAACCGCCTCCCCACGCGGCTGCCTCACGTGAGGACACGAGTGAGGATAAGCTCGGAAAACAGGGCCCACCCGGCCTGCTCTAGACAGCAGCAGAGAGATCCTTTGCTTCCAAAGGCTGTTAAAGAAAGGTAGAAAGGAGATTATTTTCCCTTGGAAAATGCTCTATGGGGAAGCAGAAAGTGCAGTGTAGACGGTTTGGACCTGGCTCCTTGCCAAATGCCCGAAAGTTAGGACAGCAGCCCCCTTCCCCCCTCCTTTCTTCCCTTAGGTTAAAGGAAAAGAAACTATAAAAATTAAAGAACCCAAAGTCAAGCTGCTTATGTAAAAATATATCTATATTTACGTAAATTACAGTTATGTACAGTTAAGATGCTATATACACAGTAAAAGGGGGTCCACCCCCCCCGAAGGGATAGGGAAAGGGAAAAAAGGAGGATGAAAGGGAACAAAAGGGACACCGAACAGGTATACTAGATCAAACTATACTAATAACTAACAAAACAGATCTCACCACGTCCCTTAGAACAGCAGGATCAGCAGTCACAGCCAGCACTCTCCAAACCTCCACGTGGCAGGACAGTGGACTCTGCAGGCCTCAGCCTTAGATAAGCGAGACCAACGTAGGGACTCACTGTTCCCAAACTTCGCCGGAAGAGAAGAGAGCGAGGTCTCTAATCTCCGACTTATTTATACTCTGGTTTACGTAAAAATTGTATGGAATACTGGGTACTTGGTTACTTATCATAGAATCATAGAATAGATTGGGTTGGAAAAGACCTCCAAGATCATCAAGTCCAACCCCAGATCCAACTCCAATTACTATATCATGGCACTAAGGGCCACATCCAATCTCTGCTTAAAAACCTCCAGGGATGGTGAATCCACCACCTCTCTGGGTAGGTTGTTCCAATGCCTGATTACCCTCTCTGTAAAGAATTTCTTCCTAACATCTAACCTAAACCTCCCCTGGCAGAGCTTGAGCCCATGTCCCCTTGTCCTATTGTTGGTTGCCTGGGAGAAGAGCCCAACCCCCACCTGGCTATAACCTCCCTTCAGGTAGTTGAAGAGAGTGATGAGGTCACCTCTAAGCC